GCACATGTAATTGCAACAAAAAGCAAACGGCAACTGTGGAGCGCACATCCTGCGCTTCCTTCCAGGGCCCCTTCAACGAGAGCAATCGACTTCTGTCATGCTCCTCCAGGATATCTAATCCATTCTAAGCACATCCATGAGTCACTTCTGAAAAACACACACCTCCACTTCCATATATGCAACAGTTTTCATGGCAAAAACCATCAGGCAACGTTGTGGGAAGACTGACCTTCACAAAAGGGAGCAGAGGGAAATCCCGGGCTAGTGCAGTGACAACTAGCAGTGAAGTGAAGGTCTCCTGAAACTTCTACAGCAGACCACAGTGAATTGTTGCAAGTCATTTAAAAGGCATGAAACACGAAGTCAGTAAGTCTTAAATGAATATAAGACAGTCCTATGTCCCAACCACCGTAACATCAACTATAGCATTTAAGACAACTTGGCTATGCCCATGCACAACAGAGCATGATGCTAAGTCAACCCCTCTCTCCCCCAAGCCATTGGTGACACAGTCAGAGGCAGCTGGAAGGCCTCTGCCTTGTGTGCTTGAGGAGGGGCACACTTGCTCCTCAAGCACACAACTGCCTCCCAGGCAGCCCTAAGAGGGAGCAGAGGAGGGGCAGAAGCCCACAGTGCATCCCTTGGCCACAGTATAAGGGAGAAGACGCAAGACTGGCTCTGTGGTCTGGAGGACATACTAGAGCCAGGCCTGATCCAATTAAGCCCTGCCTTGCAGAAAGATCACTTCCAGTTCTGCAGTGAACAGACTCATAGGAAACTCGGCAACATTTGCCCCCTGGTCCATTGCACAAGGCAGACATGCCCTTTGGAGTTCAAGCGTGTTAGGATGGGGTATTTCAGCTCAGCAAATACACACACAATAAACAGCACCGATTATTCACAAATGAAATTATGTCTAGTAAGTCAAACAATCTATAATCTGAAAAATCTTTTGATAAGAAGTGCATTGATTTTTTTTTTTTTTTTGGTTTTACATTCCCTGCTATGATTGTTCAAAGCGCTACATATAAAGGGCTTAGGAAAATAAGTTATTTAAACAGATTAAAAGGAAGCCCCCTATCAACCGGGAACCTAAGAGCTCCCACATCCTCAGTTTGTTTAACACCCACTTGTAAAACTTTTCTAGGGTATTGCTAGTGCTGCAGTCCCAGCCAGCATCAGCTGTTTGCCGAGTTCCACTTCTCAAAGCACAAGAAAAGGACAACCTGCAGCTTTCAAAAGTTTTCTTAAGAAATGCTTGTAAAACTTAAGTCAACATTATATTCAGACAGATGCTTAAGGAAAACTGTTCTATTCCCATCACAAGCAGCAATCACTACTCTGTAGACAAGACAGATTTCTTCTGCAGCAGCTGGAAGCTGCAGCTGGTAAAAAAACAATTTGATTGGCATAATTAAATTAGTTCAGCCATTTTAATTATTTTGGCACAGTATCTCAAGCAAGAAAAAGCCAAACAAGTTCGTATTGGTACAGGTATTTGTGTCATTTTTGCAGCATTGCAAGGTAGTCTGAAACCTATCTGGAACTGCCACATGCATTCTTGTCCTATGGACACCTGTACATATAGCAAAGAACAAGTAAAGGACATGGGACAAATCTCATCTCTTTCAGTCCTGCTCTTTTCTCTCCATGAGGACTGTTTCTTTGGCAAGCTTTAATTGTATGCCAGCAACTGGAGCACCATTTCACCACCTTCTTTTTCACATCTAAGACCCTCCACTCCTAATCTCTCTTTAATGTCTCTTGCCCAGTCCTTGTGTACTGTCTGCACTTGCTGCGTGGAGCACTCATCCTCAGGTTTCTCCCCTTGGGTTTTCATTCCTTAACATCTAACAAACATTTTTCCCCATCAGCTCCTGAAGATGCCTTCCTAGCCAAACTCCTATTCCCTTTAGCCAGCTTCAGTTTCACTGATAAAGCTCTTCTGGACATTTTGCCCTCTTAACTTATTTCACTGCCTTAGCTTTTGAGATTTCTTCACAATAAATTGAAGACAAAATTGCACTTTCTCAGTAGTCCATCCCAAGTCCTCTTTAACTTGTAACTCTCAGATTCTTCCCACTCTTTAATAAACAAGATATATTCCATCATGGGATATGACACACTGCTAGTCAACTTTATATATACGCTTGCATTTAACAATAATTATAATTCTGGCCATTCATGCAATAATTATAGCTACTGTTTAGAAAAATGCCAGTCTACCTAGGACAGTGAGGACACAAATAGCCTAATTTTGCTGGTTTCTTGCCCTAGTAACCCAAACCTGTCTTTATCATCAGCGTCAGCAGTTTCCATGCACAGCTTCACACAGCTTTACATAACTGCCTGCACACCTTCCCTTCCCCTTTTAAGGATGCTCACCAGTTTAGATGTCCCCATATTGGTAGCCAAGACCCAAAACTACAATGCCTATCCTCAGCACTGCCACTGAACACCCTGTCCGCAGGGCGTCATGTGGGCACCCGCCCGTCACCCAGCACTCTTCCTCAGGCCCCCTCTGCTCTACACCAGTTCCACATCTTTCACCACCGAACGTTTGCGTGGCTGCAACAGTCCGTTATCTTTGATATTCTATTTAAACAACAATACAAATACTTCAGACTCTGAAGCCTCTTGAGAATCTGTCCCTTCACGCAAAATCCTCTGATAACACACAACATTCAATGAAGCCCCAAGCAATCAAGCAATGGTCCTTCAAGTGTAAAGATCACTTTCAGAAAGGGGGCCAAATTATCAAATTTACTCCAAATGGTAAAATCACAGGAACAGAAAATGCATTTCACACACAATGTAGTGGAAGAGAAAAAGAAAAGAAAAAAAAATCAAGTTTGCTCCACACAGCAACCTAAAATCAGCATGTATGAGAGAATGAATATTGAAAGGTAAAAGCCAACTGCATGATCATGTACTTGCAAAGAAACTCTAATTTTACTGCATGTGCATTTTTCCCCTTCATCTTATACTCATAAACCAACTCAATCAAATGAAAAAGAAAAAAAACTGTTCAGTAGAGCGGGTTATACTTAGCAAAGGCAGTCTAACATTTTAAAGAGCTTCTCCTACCAACATTCCACCTGAATTGATACCAACAACTACTGCCAATAAGACAAGGCATTCTGCAAAGTCAGTCAAAGCAAGCAGCTTACAACATATACATGTATAATTAAAGACAAAATATTAGCTGAATGATGCTATAACTACAGGCATTTTTCTTCCGCAGATGTATACTTTGGATAAAGGAAATGCAAAGGCCCTCCATCACCTTACAGCCAGGTGATGTTGGCTAGCATCAGTGAACGAAGGCTGACCAGTTATACCGATGACTGATCTCATAAGGGTTCCCATACAGGCCAGTGAAAAGTGAAATGGGTTCTTTTTTTTTTTTTTTTTTTTTTTTTGGTAGGGGGGGGGGGGAGGGAGGGAAAAAAAATTTCTTTGCTCTCAGTAGACTTTAGATCAAGCTCCATGCTGTAGCCAAATCCCAATCTCCACAACTGCCCCCACAGGACAAGGAGGGCTCAGGTCTTGCAATAACCATGACAAAAGGCTGCACGCTAGCTGGATTTAGCAACGTTCCTTTATACTTCCTAGCCCAGCAGAAAGACAGCTCTGGTGTTTCCGAGAGTAACACTAACCCTCCTTGCCTGGGAAAAGCATCTTAACCTTATTATGGATGGCACAACAACCTTTTTTCCTCCCTTCTCAGGGAATACAGAAATTAAAACTGGCCAAATCAACTAAGTTAGTGACTTTTGTTTGTGCCTGTATGGCTAAATGACTTGGCTGAAGAGAGAGGACAGGAAGTTTAATATAAGCCCTCACCCTCACATGCATAGTAACACAATTATTTAAAAAAGAAAAATAAAAGACACCTACACACTTATGTAGTTTATACACTATTAACCTAATAAGGTATATAATGCTCATTTCAGTGCTATTAAAAAGCGTACTTAGCCCCCACCTAACTTTTACAGCCTTAGGCTTGTATCCACGTGGAAGTTACTGTGGAACAGGTTAATGAGTGAGTTTAAAAGTATGCCATCTATCCTATACTAGCTCCCTCTACAAACATGTGAAATAAGAATGGGAGCTATTTCAGAATTGCAGCAGTGTATCAGGTTATCTTCCCACATAGACAAGGCTCTCGCAGATTATCAACACCGTGCAACACTACAGCTAACCTACTCATCTGCCTAAATTCCCTCCAAATTCAGAGCTTGCTTGAGAGGTGAATGGTTTCAGATAAACCCATTCCCTTTGAGAAAAAAGAGCTGCAGGGACTAGAGGTCACTCGACTCTCATGACTACAGGCGAAACGTTCCCCTTCAAATCAGCTGTCTATCCTGGAAGGAATACTTGAATGCCTTTTTGAGCTATTCTGCTAATATTAGCGGGTTTCAAAAGCAGAGGTGAACATAAAACAGCTCCTGTTCCCTTCCAGTGCAAGAACAACTTGAGAGTTTTGGCAGAAAGCTCCAAAACTTTCCTGTCGATGCAGGAAAGCTGTTCTCAGTTATTCCACGTGTGATCAGATATATGGCTAGCAGACCTTTTGGAAGATGCCCTTCTAATCTAAAGAAAAAAAAAAACATCCAGACTTAAAAGTCATCAGGAACCTTATCTACAGTTGAGAAAATCTGTTAGAGGGAGTACAAGTTATGATATTAAAACAATGACAACTTCATTAGTATTTTTGTGTGCTTCCAACCAGATCAACACTACTTTTTTTTTTTTTTAATAAAGAAAATGGAAGGCTATTTTCAAGTAGCTTAAGAGAGAGAAGTCACATCAACACAACATTACAGTGACAAAACTCATCCTGTAACATCTGGTAAACAGACCATATTGGTTATGATGGTTTTTTTGCAGAAGAGAACAAGACATATACATGCAAAACAAAAAGTAGACATCTAAAACACTTGATTGCATGAGCACTAAATCCAAATTCAAAAGTAAAAATATTTTTTGTGACTTACCAGAATTTCTCTTCGACACGAGCTTCAAATTCATGCTGACTACAGTACAGATCACAAGAACCAAGAGAACAAGAGGCTTCATCTTTCACTTTCTTTGACAGCTGAAATGCAAACATAGTATGAAGTCTGAATCACAGCTCTTTGCTACAACAAAGCAGCAGCTACAGTTAAACATTGCTCAAAGAACCATTATGGGGCAACAGCTTCATCTAGTAACTTCTGGGTTTATTTTTATGCAGAGGTAGGAAAACATAATAGTTCAAAGTAAGTGTCTATGAATAATTTATCTCTGAATATCACACAAAAGGGTTTTTTTTTTTTTAATGACACTGGAAATATTATTTTGCTGAAAAAAATGAAGACTTAACTGTTTCTTTGAAACAGCACAGGTCTAGTCTAGCAGATTTTTATATGTTATAACTAGGAGACTCTGATGGCCATAATTAGTTTTGCCTCATACAAACAGACCACATGGTTAAAATAAAACAAAACAAAAAAAAACCAAATACACTTCACATTATTCAGTAGAAGATAAGAGTAGGCTACTCATATAATTTCTCTTAGAAACCTTACTGTCCCACTGGTGACACTGTAAAAGCTCCTGCAATGAATTATGCTATTCCAGAAATTTCTCCTATAAAATGAAGTAAAGACAGGTGAATGAAATTCAGAAGTCAATGAATGCAGGTCTCAGGATTCTTATTAAAAAGATAAAATGAGTCTCTCCTGTGAATTTTACTGTCCACTTTAATATCACATACTTAAAAAGAGAGAAATCTAGTCCAAAATTGTAGTTTGAATTTTATATAATCACTAGAACTAATTCTGTTTTCATTTACAAGTACAAGGTCATTCAAGAAAATGTAACCAGAGCAAACTGAGGCTCCTTATGGGTATTTAAAAACAGCTATAATGGATCTGAACCCAGCTAAAGTCCTTATATACATGATTAATTATAAGCTCGAGTCCTCAAATATATGCTCAGCTACTGAAGCCATCACTTGAAGTCACAGGCCTTTAAGCGATTTGATGTATTTAGACCCCAGGAATTCATCTCCATACCTGATACAGACTTCATACAGACTTTAGACCAGACCCTTATTCTCAGGTAAAGAGAAGAGCTATGTAAAACAGCATGAAAAAATTATAAGAATCAAAAGAATTAACAAAACATTTTAAAGTAAGTTTAAAAAAAAAAAAGAAAAGAAAAGAAATAGGCAAAACCAACCGCATTAACAGACAAGCAGGAAGCCAATGAAGCAGAATCGTTCATGACACCTCGCACCACCTGGCTGCCCAGCCCCAGCATGGCCAGAGCCACCCGCAGCTCCGGGACCAGTTCTGAACATTGGCTCAACATGATAAAACAGCAAGGGAGAGTGCAATGTCCTGCAGTTCTCTGAAAATCATTCAGTTAAATTTGAGTTTATTACATCAAATATTCTCCCTTTGTAATTTTACTACCAGCCTACTGTTGTGTGAAGAAAACATAGGAACCACAGATAATCTTTTACACCATGGCAATTATGCTGCTATTCAATTACTTCAAAATTACCACTTCCATCTGAATTTTTCACCCTCTCACCCTGCTGGACTTACTGTAAGCTATAAAGAGGCAATGTTTTTTTTCCCCTGAATTCTACAGTCCCCAGAGCACTTAATGCTTATTGATTCCCCAGGGTAACAGTGCTAAAAAACTAAAGGAGTATGCAGGAATAATACTCAGTGAAGGTTATCTGACAATAGTTAATAACAGAATTAGTATTCATTTTCCCTTAACCTCTCCTTGGAGTACCAAAATCCTGAAACAAGCAAGGCCATCTTGACAAGAGAGCTTAAAAAAAGTAATTGAACTAAATCTTTTGACAGATAATTGTAATGATGATGTTATGCTAGAATGATTTTCAAGTGTAGCTTTGCAAATTACTTTCTCCACTCTCCTCCCTTCAGTTATTATAGCAAAGGTATGCAACTCCTAGGTCTTTTTTCATGCGGATACCACCATCCCACCACCCCCAACCCCAGAAAAAAAATTCCATGTTGCATCAAACACTTAAAATTTCAAAGCAAGTTCTGCTGAACAACATTCACACTAGAAAGGGAGAAAAATTCTTGGTTCTGTTAGCATCAATAGCTTTGTTTTTTGAAGTCTTGGCCTCACCAAAGAAATCAGTCTCTGTATCTGCACCAGCAAAATTATGAAAAAATAGCAGGAAAGGGACAAGACATTACCCCAACAGCCAGTCATTTATAGCCTAGCGCAGAGATTCAGCTTGTCTCACCTTACATACCCCCACCGAAGTTGGTAGGAAAATGCAGATTGGAGTTTGAGGTGTCATCTTCACTGTCCCAGCTGGCTAACCAGAAGAAAGTAGACTCAGTCACCCCAGTGCGGCTGGTGGGCCAGCTGGTTTCTATCACCTCCTCCCGCAGTACTAAACAGCTATAGATAACAAGGCTGACAACAACAGCCACATCACGCATTTTTTTAACCTACAAATTGACAGAGAACGTAAGGTAAAGACACGTGTAAAAGACACGTTTCACAGGGAAGAATACCACGCAGCCAAAAGAGGGAGGGTTCCATGTGTGCACAACATTACATGAGACTGAATTGTTCAGGAAGAGATTTCGGCTACTGAGCCTGCCAAGACTCCCAGTGGGATCAGTCCTGGAATTCCCTCCTCCAGGCCATGCACTTGCACATCAGGGTACCAGGATGAGCCAGGATTCGAGGCAGTCTTCTGTTAGACCTACTGGCACATCTCGAAGTCAACGAGTGGGAGAGCGTCTATGATCTCATGAAGGACCTGAACAAAACCATACTAGCTTGCAGAGACATTAGAGATGGGATAAATCAATTAATATCCAATTATTTTTTTTTAAATAATCGAGACATTTTCCTCCAGCAGTGTTGATCTGAGCTGCAATTACATCTGAATTCCAAACATCCATGAGATATCTCTTTACGAAAGGTTAGCTCCCAATCCATACAAAATCTGGAAAACATAGGGAAGGGGTTACCCACCCACTGTATTTGCAAGAAGGGAAAAGAAACTAAGCCTCAAGGTCCAACATTCTTACTGATTTTATGTTACTTATTTCATATACAGTGGTCAGAATTAGGATCATGTTTATAGGGTTTGATTTAAATATAACCACCTAAACACCCACACAACTTGTGGATAACAAGACACACTGGATAGCCACAGAAAAGGGACATCTGTCCTCGAAAGCTAAAGGCAAAGAGAACGAGCATTTAAATTACGCACCTCAATACTTCCCACACTTCCCAACTACCAGTTGCAGCACTACGCATTTTTAGCATTGTCAAAGCATCAGTTAAATTCTTACACTACAGTGTGAGGGAGAGCCATGCTCAGTGGGTAGTACACTGCCTTTTCATTTACAGCAGTACTGTCACCAAGAGACTGAATTCTGGTTCTCCACGGAGAGCTGAGCCCAGGCTTAATCTACTGGCACAACCAAACTCCAGTCTACTTCAACTTCCCATGCCACCATAAAACCCTCCAGTTTGAAAGGCATTTCATATAAAAAGCAGGTTACAGCTAGGACTTAGAAAGATTTCAAAGTATTCACTTTAACAGAATTTTACATTAAGGTTTCTTTTCATTCCAGGCAATCTCCTCTCCTTCTCGTTTCTAGCTCTCCATGAAACAGCTAACTTGCAAAATCCCCCAGTTCTTTTTCCTGGTGCAAAGACAGAGTCTTTTTAAAAAAAAAAAGAGAGAGAGAGAGCACGTTTCCATTCAGGATATCTGTAGGTCACAGCAATGCTTTTATGAAAATGCATCTCTGATTTCTCTCCCTTCTCCCCTTTATTTCAAATTTGGGGACAAAAGATAATCTGGTCACTTTGTCTTCTGATCGCCCATGCCAGCCCATTTCCCTTCCTCCCACTGGGGCACACGGCAGATTCCAACACACCTACAAAGCTAAGGACCGCATAACTAACTTGAAGACTGAGGACTTAAAGACTCAAGATGGCCAAATGACACCATAGAAACAAGCGCTCTTGTCATTAGAAGTCCTAGGTATTATTGCCACATGCTAGATGGCAAAAATTTAAGTGTACACTATGCCTGGAAGGGGGGATATCTGGGCTGACACAGGGACATGGGTGCATCAGACAGACCTTAACTCATTAAGCCCATGTGCCAAATCAGCTCCCATCTGAAGCTGTAGCCAGTATTATCTTAACAGTGTCTCAACATATGCTTCTTCTTTCTCTCACAAACGGATAATACCAGCAAGCATTTTTTGTACGCTGATGTCTATATAAGGGACTTGCACTGGGACGCTGCCATGCCTGCTCACACACCCAACTAGCCCAGGCACAGCTGGAGACAAAGATTTAGCTTCACAATTACCTGAAACACATGATGAAGCAGAAGACAACAAGACCTACTACCATGGTGCCAATACTAGATATCGCAATCTATTAGCAAAGAAAGGACACACCTCAAAAAGAGAGAACAGCTTCACAGGTCAACACATGACCTGAGACAGCACAGAGCAGCTTTTGTAGAAACGGCAGGTGCTGGAAGCAAAGCTGAGGAACTCTGGCAGGCTTGCTGCTTGTCAAGTGACAAATATTCCCTCACGGACACCAAGCAGCACTTCCCCAAGGAGCTGCTTAATCTGATTCTGCCAACTCCAAGCAGTTGCAAGTAGGGGCTCACAGGTGTAACAAAACATAGTACACTACCAGACTTGTCTCATAAGATGATGACCGAGCTTCGGACTATTCCCAGGACAGTGAGGATGGAGTCTTACTTCACACAGATATAGAAATGCCAATTACAGCTAACTTGCCCACAATTACTGGGGGTAGGGAAGAGACACAGAACAAAGTGCTTGTTGAGAAAGCAGAAAGAATCCCTAGGAAAATTAATTTGGCCCTTGTTGGGATCTACAAGGTTGCATTTGCACGGAGATAAGTTAAGGGAGGTTGCTACCATTGGTTGGGTGGAGAAGCATAGGAGAAGCAAGGTGCAACGACCCCGTTCTCAATCATTCAGCTGTTAATAAAGCCATCATTTCCCTCCTCCTACCATTCGATGCTGCAAACCACAGACTT